CTCCATCCATGCCCGAGGTAGAATTTCTTCAATCTGTAGAGATGGGATTAAACCCGTGAGTTGAAAAACTCAATAGGTGTCATAGGTGCATTCGTGATCAAATTATACATTTCAAAACATTAACTTTATAATTTTTCATACATGCCGTACCCGGAAGCACCATTTGACATGAAGGGGTATGTCGTACCCGAGGGCACCATTTGACATACGAACATTTCTTCAACATAGAGGGGTATGCCATACCGGAGTACTATTTGACATACAACCATTAACATAGAGGGATATGTCGTACTGGAGTACCATTTGACATACAAACATTAACATGAATCGAAACTTATAACTTAACACGATTAAACACATTGCACCTCTACCTACATTGATTAATCATTTTGAAACTTTGAAAACTTGGATTGAAAACTTCGATGAAACTTGGACGTTGAAAGAAATGCACTCCTTAGATGTTTGAAAACCGTTGAGAATTGATACTCGAAAACATTTCTTAAACTTCTCGGAAAAATAGTTTTCCTCCCTCTCTTTTTCTCTCTTGAAAACTCTTTCTTTAGTATGTAAAAGTTCTTGCTTTTGGTGTGAGAAAAAAATGAGTGAACTGAGATCTCTATTTATAGGTAAATAGTCCATAACTTAAAGCAAATGAAGGGTCAAATTTCATTTAAGAGAGAAAACATGGGTGCCATTTAAGTTTGAGGTTAAATGCTTAAATTTAGTGGGGTTTTTATTGTCAAAAACGTGGGTGGCCCTTTGAGAAAATAATTGATGAAAATAAATATTTAAATTCTAGAGAAAAACGAGAATTTTCATTTCAGGCAGTTTCGATCGACCGGTGGTAGTCTGGTTGACACTGCACAGCTTTCAATGTTTATATCATAACTTCTTCTTCCGATATCCAATTAAGGTAATTCAAAGTGCGTTGGAAAGCTAACTCAAAAAGCTACAACTTTTATTTAGATATCATTTTCCAAATCGAATGTTTCCTATGTCGAAAATGGGTCACAAATGAAACTAAAAATCTGAAGTATACTTTAGTCATCCAATATTCATGTTTTAGTGCCACTAAGGTGTCTAAAATTATTTGGGGTTCTACAATAATCGTCGATATCAGTGTAAAAAAATTTGTCGATGACATGACAAGTTCTCTATCGGCTACTATATTATCATGTGTGCATGCTAATATAGGTGCATTGATGATACAAAAATCACCGACAAATATTGATTTCCAATAGATCACCTACAATAATAACGTTGATGATCATCAATGAAATTTTTGTTGAGATCGTTTGCTCCATTTAATATTTTTCTTATTATTTTTGAAAAGTCGTCATAAAATTTTGCCTAATGATAGTTGACCTCGTGGTAGTAGGTTGGCGCCATAATGGGGAGAGGATGGGATAGGTCGCACCAAGGATGAGGCACAGACTTGCATTTGTGAATTGAATGAGGAATAAAATGAGGTTAGAAACAAATATAATTGAAGAAGAATGACGAATAAAGGAGATATGGTAATGTTGAAAAATATATAAAATGAGGTTTCTTTAACTTTTAATCCGTATGATTTTGACTCTAAACCTTCAAATCTATGAATCTAAGTCCTCACGTTATAGAAACAACATTGTAGATTTAAAAAATGTATGTGACTTTATTTGACTTAGAGTTAAGAAAAAAATTGTCAAAGATTAAACAAAGAGACCCAATTTTCCTAATTTATCCTGACTTAAAATTTTTTCATCACAAGGATAACGATTTACATATTTAAATAGGTTAGGGTCTCAAATCTCAGTTTTGTACCAAAGCTATTGTAACATTTCAAAATTTATTTACTTATTACGTAAGCCTTAAATTTTGTTAATTAAATTTTGATCATTAGCAAATTAATTGGTCCATGCCTAACCTTGTCATTATAATAAGGTTCATATATATGTGTGTGTGTACACACACACACACACACACACACACACACACACATATATACATACACACACACACACACACACATATATATTTTAAAAGAATTATTATAATGCATTTTTCTTATTTCTTCTAAATATTATGTGTGCACAATAATTGGGTATAGTAGATGTTGACAAAAATATATGAATATGTGTCTCATTTTGTAGACCGTGTTAAATTATGTAAATCGGGTTCAAGAGAAATTTATGTTGAATGCATTTTATCAAGTTATTGTGGTTGAAACGAAATTTATGAAACCATTTAATATAATTTTAATTATTATTTCCCGTTATATTGATTGGTTTGCAAATGTGTGAGATTTCACATGTAAAGAACTAATCAATCTTATCATTTTGTTTACTTTTATATCTATTAGTGTTAAACGTGTAAATTATGAGAACGTGTGGTAGTTTTTCTCAAATACTTGGTCATTTTCTTTTGGAAAAAGCTTCTTGTACAGCTCTATTTCACAGCAGTTTAAATCTACTGACGTGGGCAGGAAATCTGGGAAAAATAAGGAAACGATGGGTCAGAAACTCATTAAACCCATTTTACAACCTGACCCATTTCAATACAACCCATTTATTCATCTACTCCCACTGAAAAGTCAATTCCCAAATCAATTTCCCGGCAGATGCAAAACCTGTGTGCCCGGGCATATCTGTCTCTCACGACTGGTTCGTTTCCAGTAAGAAGGCGATAAATATTCGAAGTACTCGGTCCGGCTTCGATGACCTCCGCCTCTCGTGGCTGCCGTTTCCGGTTAGAATCCTCAAGATTTTCTTTCTCCAAATTTAGGTTCATCTTTTTTTGGTTTCTCCAAATTTTGGAGATTCTATAAGAAAATGAGCTGCAACAATGAAATATAGAAAGAATATTTTGGGAATTCTGAGTACTTTGTATGACTTTTCCAAATCTTTGCAGCTCATTTTCTGTGTGATTTCTCCAAATTTGGGTTCTCTCGAGGCTGTCATTCCCTGTTATTAACCCAAGCCTCATTTTCTTTCTCCAAATTTTTGGAATTCTATAAGATTTGAAAAGGGACAATTTTGTTATGCATGTTAGATCATAATTGAGAAAGAATAACTTTTGAAAATCATTGATGGGTTTTTCATATATGCAATAACAAGAATAATAACGGGTACTTAAAGCAATTATTGAGAATATTAATGGCAAGCAATATAGTAAGGCAAACAACAATGCAAGGGAAGATGTAAATATAGGATGTGCAATAGTTGTGTTTATAACCCTATGGAATAAAAGAGACTGCCCACTGCCATTTTCAGCCTAATTATCTTGGTCTAGTGGCTTTGTGTAGCATACCTATTACCTATTTTTAGAGAGAGAGAGAGGGAGATTCTTTATATAAGTATCTATACAATTAACCGCAAATAACAAATCTAGAACTAAAAAGTTTTGCTTGTACTTGAATGCTCTCTCTATTTCAAAATTGAATATTTGTCCTAAAATGATGAGTAAGTAATGCTTAACATTCGACTTTGTTGATTATGATGTAGGAAAAGAAATAATGGAAGTATTGGATGATGAAGTATTGGCAGAATTCGACGATGAGAACTTGATGGACAATGTAATCACATTGGAAGATGATAATGTAGGAGAGGATGCTATAATTGTGCCAGAGGTGGGTATGAAATTCAACGACAAGAAAGAGATGTTTGAATTTTACAAAAAATATGTGTACGAAGTAGGTTTTCTAGTTTAGAGAAGAAATTCCAGAAAGAACAATGGTGTAGTTACATACATTACACCGACATGTAGTCGTGAGGTACAATGACGCTACCAAAAAGGTGTTTCTTTGAAGCCGCAACCAACAATTTAGACGGGTTGCAAAGCAAGGATAACTGCTTCCTCAGATGTTCGCGATGTAGGAAAAGAAATAATGGAAGTATTGGCAGAATTCGACGATGAGAACTTGATGGACAATGTAATCACATTGGAAGATGATAATGTAGGAGAGGATGCTATAATTGTGCCAGAGGTGGGTGTGAAATTCAACGACAAGAAAGAGTTGTTTGAATTTTACAAAAAATATGTGTACGAAGTAGGTTTTCTAGTTTAGAGAAGAAATTCCAGAAAGAACAATGGTGTAGCTACATACATTACACCGACATGTAGTCGTGAGGTACAATTACACTACCAAAAAGGTGTTTCTTTGAAGCCGCAACCAACAATTTAGACGGGTTGCAAAGCAAGGATAACTGCTTCCTCAGATGTTCGTGGAAATATGGAGAATCTACACGGTTGACCCAGAATATAATCATAAAACAAGTCCGTCGAAGTCTAGGTTGTATCGATGTAACCGAGAATTGAAAACAAAGGCTAGAAGTGAATGATATGGCTAAAATTCCTTTGCATAAGAGTTAAAACTCTACAGTGGTTGAAATTGGTGGAAATGAGAATATGACTTGCATTGAAAATGATTGTCGAAATTATGTGAAAAAGGTAAGGCGATTAAGACTAGGCGAAGGAGATGCCGCAGCAATAAATCCTACTTTTTGGAGATGCGAGCATGTTCCTCTGGGTTTTATTTCTCTATGGATTTGGACAACGAGTCACGGCTTAAGAATCTTTTCTGGGCCGATAATAGATCTAGGCAAGCATAAAAGGAATTTGGTGATGTAGTGACGTTCGATACCACTTACTTGACTAATAAATATAACATGCATTTTGCCCTTTTTGTCGAAGTACATCATCACGGACAGTCGATACTGCTTGGATGTGGGTTGCTATCAAATGAGGATACAGATACATTTGTTTGGCTGTTCAGAACATGGTTGTTGTGCATGCATGGTCAAGTTCATAACAGAATTATTACCGATCAAGATAGGGCTACATATAATGCAATTCAGATTGTGTTTTCAAATACGAGGCATAGATAGTGTCTGTGGCATATATTGAAGAAGTTGCCTGAAAATTTGAATCTTTTCTGGGCCGATAATAGATCTAGGCAAGCATAAAAGGAATTTGGTGATGTAGTGACGTTCGATACCACTTACTTGACTAATAAATATAACATGCCTTTTGCCCTTTTTGTCGAAGTACATCATCACGGACAGTCGATACTGCTTGGATGTGGGTTGCTATCAAATGAGGATACAGATACATTTGTTTGGCTGTTCAGAACATGGTTGTTGTGGATGCATGGTCAAGTTCATAACAGAACTATTACCGATCAAGATAGGGCTACATATAATGCAATTCAGATTGTGTTTTCAAATACGAGGCATAGATAGTGTCTGTGGCATATATTGAAGAAGTTGCCTGAAAATTTGGATACCACGTGGATAAGAGCTCCATTTTTTCATGCATAGATTAGTGTATGACTCACAGTTCGTTGAAGAGTTTGAGAGAGGTTGGGAATTGATGATTGATACATATAACTTATACGACAATGAATGGTTGTCCAGTTTGTATGAGAATAGAGGTCGATGGGTGCCATATTATTTAAAAACATCTTTCAGGGTGGGGATGCCAACTACTCAGCACAGTGAGAGTGTAAATGCGTTCTTTGACGTATATGTGCATTCTACGACATCATTGAAATAATTTGTGGAACAATACGAACGAGCACAGCGAAATAAGATTAAGAAGGAGTTCCATGCAGATTTTAAGTCGTTTTTGCAGATGGTGCTGGGTGCAATGCTATATGTAATGGAAAAGCAAGTTCAGGCAGTGTATACCATATTCAAATTTTGAGAATTTCTGGATGAAATAATTGAGAAGGTATACTGTGATGTCATATCTGGGTCTAACGGGTGTTCGAGGAGGACGTACGAGGTCGAGGAGGACGTCGTTTATGAAGAGAAGGCGAGGAAGAAAAAAATTCACCGTGTGGTTTCGTGCAGAGATGTGCGATATTGTTTGCGGTAGTCATTTCTTTGAGTTTCGAGGAATTCTGTGTAGACATGCCATATCAGTGTTGATGATTAACGACGTCACATCACTGTCGGACCCTTACATATTGAGAAGATGGAGGCAAGATATTTGTAGAGCTCACACAAGAGTGTCAATGAACTATGCTGATTTGATTAGCACTCCTGATCAGTTGAGATATGAGAAACTGTGAGAGGAATTTGCTACGTTTGCAGGCATAGCCGCAAATAATGAGGAGCTATGTTGTCAAATAGTAGAATGTATTTGGTTACAATCTAAGCAAATAATGACTACCACGCAGATTTCTCGGAGTAATAACATTTCTCTGCCCAGTTTGCATGTAGAATATCCCACACACACCCCATTCTCACATTCACAATTTATTATGGTAAGTGATTTTATTTTTTTTTACGTTCAATGGCCGTGATTTCTAATCACTTTTTTATTGCATGTAGGGTGATCGTCGGCAAAATCGTCATGCAGTTACACAATAGTTGGCAGCTTCAAATTCCATTGCTCCATCGTCAGCAAATGTTGAGGTTCCATTACCCAGGTAATTATATGGTTTCATATGTATAAATTGCACATGTTTCTTTTCCCATATCATTGACACAATATGTTTTTACAGTAGGTACTACAATCCCATTCCAACCACTGATGCCACCTTCTCAAAGTGCAGTAGCAGGTTGGATGTATAGTGTAACCCAATCGTCAGTAGGAGTGCAATCCAATCATCAGTAGGACCGTTATTCACGTCTACTAGTGAACATCAATAGGTGGTCGTATTATGTAATGCAAGCACGTAATGATATTCTTTTTTTTGGTTTGGAGCTATCATTTTATTTCAACATCTAGACGAGTCATAGTGTTTTGAATGCTTATGATGATCTACTTATTGTTCATGTATATTTCATAACTTTACATCCTTGCAACTATAGGAAACATGTCATTAAGTTTACAATGTTTTGAATGCAATTACGTTTACTAATTTTATAAGATGTTTAATGCCTCTGGATTGGCACGCAAATCATGCGTATATCCTTTTCTGTAGTGACATCATTTTAATTACAAGAGCTTATTAATTATAGGCATTTTTTGTGCCAAATCATTTAAAATTGCCATTTTTTTGTGTTCACCAACAAAAACACGAGGTAACTATAACAATGAAGTTCATTTCATAATTCCACACTTACCGACTGGAATAAGACTACATTGGCACATTCATAATTTGAAGTTCGAAAGTTGAAAGAAGACAACATTGCCACATGCTCTAAACTACTACAAACTGGAATTGCATTGCCACTACATTACGCTACATAAACACATGCCGTACTACACACTAATACAACGACTCAAGTTTCACATTCCAAGTCCTTCTCATCTTCCGAAACTCATGTCCCCTTGCACATCTTTATGTTCAGGGAAATCTCCAAATCCTTCTCATCCGTTAGATTAGCGAGCGGATTTCAACATATGCGACAAATCATCCGCATGCTCAGTTTCGTTTGTAATGCCACTTGAGTCCCCATCGTCATGCACTATACATTTTTCATTGGGTTTATTTTTACACCATTTGAAGAATTTGCAATCGCGGGTATAACAATGAAACGATAGCCCTTTATGCTCATTGTTCTTTTTCACCTCCATCCATTTGACGAATCCTACACCGTAGTTGGGCATCTTCTCTTTTTGGGGCATTCCAACATCGTATGTCCCGACATTCTACAACAATGACAAATTCCCCTATTCTTGCCCGCCATCCCAGTATCCTGGTTCAACCACATCAAGGAACTAATGAATGTTGCAACTAATTCAATGTCTAATTCAAATTACAGAAGAATTCTACCATTAAAGTTCAACTGACATATATTTTTAAGCTCAAACAAAACTTAACCAATGAGTCTTCAATCCACCATGCCTATCATCAAGTGAGATTATATTTTACTTTCTCACAATGACATTGTATGAAAAAATCAAGCCTCCGTTATATGTGTGTAAAAAATCATAAGTTCAAACAACACTTAAACAATAAGCTAGTACAAAAATCATTGGAATAGCCACTTTCAATATTCTCACAACCCAGAATTTTCGAAATGTCAAAACAATCACTGGAATTTACGAGTTTAATTTGGAAAAAAACTGGTTATCTTACTGCCAGACACTTCGATTGCCTAGAAACATATCGCAAGTGCAACTCTTCACCCATCTTCGTTCTCACATATATGGACTCATAGTATAACACAAAGACAACACAAAATCTCACACACAGAAAAGGCTAAACCGAATCAATTTTAGAACCATATAACACATTCACAAAAAGGAAAATTACATTTTTTGTCTTCTTTTTA